TACGGTGCAAATATTACTCGAATACCCAGGCTCCTCAAGGTTTAATATTGGGCTATTGGCTATGGATTATGTTTTATTGGTTAATAAATGGTAACCATGAAAATAAGCTTATGAGCTTACGGAATAATGGCAAGTATATTGAAAAAAAAATAAGCTTACGAGCTTATGGAATTTAAATGGTAAGTATTTTGGTAAAAATAAGCTTATGAGCTTATGGGATAAAAGGTAAGAAATTTATATTATTTTGATCATGGTAGAATATTGAAGATGCTATTAGCATGGTTTTATGACATTGGATTTGAAATCTAAATTCATGCATGAATTGTATTGCACTATATATTGTTTTAATTGCCTCACTAAGTTTATACTTAGCGTGTGATGATTTTCACACGTAGGTAAAAAGCAAATAATAAAAATAAAGTGTTCAGAACGACAGCAAGCATTGAGAGGTATATTTAAATATCAGTAAGACATCCTACGATGGATTTTGATTTAGATAGTGGCATGTAATTTGATAATGTTAAATTTATTTTGTTGAATAAATTTTGGAAATTGTTATAGTGATGAAAGGTTAATTTTTATGAGATTTATATGAAATTTTTGAAAGTTACTGTAGCATGAACAGTAACCCCGTTTTTAAGCAAAAATTTCCAGTATGAAAAAGAGGTACTGATTCCCCTGCTACAGGGAATCGATTCCCCCACTGTTCACTGTTCGGGTACTATTCACTATTCATAATAAATAAAAAAATATTTTGAATTAAATTATTATAATGAAATGTAATTTTATATGATATGATATTTTTATAATATCATTTACTATTTTAAGAAATTAAATTTTAAATCGTTTTTGAATAAAGATGGTTTTAAAAAAATAAATAAAATGGAAATTCGGGTGACATCCGTAATCTATATAGGTATAATTATACGGGTTACGGGTGTTACATTTATTGGCATCAGAGCTACAGGTTTAGCCGATTCTTGGACTAAACCGAGATTGTTTTGTGTTTAAAATTGTATACATGCCACTAGGATGTCAAAAGTTACTGATATTTGTATATATACTGTGATGATGTTTATTGGGAGTAAAGTTACTTTTAATAATGTATGATAATTCTGACTATGTTCAGATGTTGGAATTAAAGACAAAGGTTAGAAAGTTGAAATGTTGAAAAGAAAGTCGAGATTGAAATCGATCAAAAAGGGACCCGACATGACTTATGTAAAACACCTTAGAATGGTGGATGTTATAAGGGATTTTTCTTCATTCTGTGGAAGAATTGTCACAGTGTTTAACAAAGTTTATGAATTGGAAGAATTGATTCAAAAGTTTGAATGACTTACAAGAAAAGTCGAATTGGATGAGGATCCAGAGGAGATATCTGAATAAAAGAGAAGTTATGGTTTTCATAGAAAGTTTAAAATTCAAGGATGAATTTTCTTAAGGAGGGGAGAATTGTAATAACCCAAAAATTTAGACAATGACCAAAATGAAAATTTTGAAAGTTTGATGGTCAAAGTATAAAACGTGGGAAAAGTTTAGGGAATTAAGTGATAAATTTCTTAAAAAGAATTTTATTCCATAAATATATGGTTTACTCTTGAGATTAGAGTTTTATGGAAATCATATTGTTGGATTTTGAATCTAGTAAAGAAAGGGTTAAAGCCGGTAAGGAATCGGTAATTCCGATCGAATTGGAATTTTACAAAAATTTGAAGGATGTTATAAAATGGTTGGAAATATTATTTAATATTTTAGATCAGAGAAAGTTGGTTTGGAAGTATGCAATTTTTCAGATTTAACCGAAATAGTGAAATTTAGTGACTAAAACGCAAGTTTTGAAAATTTCAGGGTATTTTCGTTGGTCAAATTAAATTATATTTGACTTTGTAATATCAGATGGCTTGGTTTTATGGTGATTTTGGAGATTCATTAAGGGTGTTTTGGTCTTATCACAATTAAATGAATAATATATTCATTTAAAGTGGAATGAAATGTAAATTAAGATGACATTTCAACCAAATGTGTTCATCTTCTCCTCCAAAAGCTGCGTGGGTTTCTTCAAAGGTAAGAGATCTTCAACTCATTTTTCAAGTAATTTATTTAGGATTATGAGTATGATGAAAATAGAAAATGGTTATTTGCGAAAAACGCTATCATTTGGTATCAATATTGCATTATAATATAGCTTGATTTCAAATATCCCCAAATCTGGAAATTTGGGTTTATACAATGGTTTTTGAAATTGATGATTTTGAGGTTGTATGAATTGATGATGAACATAAGGATGAGGTTAAAGAAAAACAATGTAGATTTTGGGAATTACAGTAGGTTCAAAAATTCACCAGAAAATATATAAAAATAATTTGGAGGTTATTTTTAAATATTGTGTCCATATATGGATCTAGTTTTGTATAAAATAAACGGGGATCAATTTCAAGTTGTATACAAATATATATGAATTTTTAACAGAGGAAAGGTCAGAAAAGTCGGACAGCAGAATTCTGTACAAAACAGATTCTATTGGTGAAGTTTGAAAATTCACCATAAATTGTACAGAATGAATTAGAAGGAGTTCTTTATATGGAAAGATTCGTATTCGAGTCTAGTTTTTAACGGAAGAAACGGAATTGAATTCAAGTGTCTATATCAATACAGAATAATGATTTTTTAAGGGTAGTGTGAGTTGTCTGAATTCTGGAAATTTATGGGTTGTTGTGTAAGAGTTGTATAATTGATGTACTATGCTGGAAATTGTTGTTCGGGAATTGAAAATGAGTGTATATGTGAAATAATTTCAATATTGGAATTTTTGGTATTAATAATCTAAGTGATAAAATGGTGAAGGACCATTTTGAGTAAATTGGAAAAGTGGGTTCCAATGTTAAAGGAATTAATAAGTACTGAATTATTTGGTGGAAATGAGTTTGAAGTATGCCATGGAATTATTTTGGGATATGGTTATGTTAGTACAATACTAACATATGTATAATTATAAATTTGTGATTTATACAGATCATGGTTGATTTGCAATTGAAGCAAGTCAAGTATAAAAAGGGTATATTGTGGACAATAGTGAGGCTCATATATTTTGAAAGACATAAAGTGTCAAGGTGAGTGCAATACATGCATGAAATTATACATGGATGTTTTATACATCATAAGGAAGACTTGCGATAAGTCGACCTTATTTATATCGGCATGATTTTATATCATTTTTTATAAATTGACATTGAGATGCCAGAGTATGAAATTAAATGCATTGATCATGAAAACAAAATGTGATATTTTACCATGAATGTTTTCGGGTATGAACTGCCCAATGTTAAATTTGATAATATACTTTGCCATGGATGGATCGAATAAAATAGACTATATGCCCAAGTAAGTCATTGAGGGACAGGGTATACTTGGCATGCCATAGAGTATAACAGCTGCAGGTTTATAATACACTTTGGCGTATATGGTGGGCACGACCTTATGTGTAATACACTTCGGTGTATATGGTGGGCACGACCTTATGTGTAATACACTTTGGTGTATATGGTGGGCACGACTTATGTGTAGCACTACGGTGCAAATATTACTCGAATACCCAGGGTTCTCAAGGTTTAATATTGGGCTATTGGTTATGGATTATGTTTTATTGGTTAATAAATGGTAACCATGAAAATAAGCTTATGAGATTACGGAATAATGGCAAGTATATTGAAAAAAAATAAGCTTACGAGCTTATGGAATTTAAATGGTAAGTATTTTGGTAAAAATAAGCTTATGAGCTAAAGGGATAAACGGTAAGAAATTTATATTATTTTGATCATGGTAAAATATTGAAGATGCTATTAGCATGGTTTTATGACATTGGATTTGAAATCTAAATTCATGCATGAATTGTATTGCACTATATATTGTTTTAATTGCCTCACTAAGTTTATACTTAGCGTGTGATGATTTTCACGCTTAGGTAAAAAGCAAAGAATAAAAATAAAGAGTTCAGAACGACAGCAAGCATCGAGAGGTATATTTAAATATCAGTAAGACATCCTACGATGGATTTTGATTTAGATAGTGGCATGTAATTTGATAATGTTAAATTTATTTTGTTGAATAAATTTTGGAAATTGTTATAGTGATGAAAGGTTAATTTTTATGAGATTTATATGAAATTTTCGAAAGTTACTGTAGCATTAAAAGTAACCCCGTTTTTAAGCAAAAATTTCCAGTATGAAAAAGAGGTATTGATTCCCCTGCTACAGGGAATCGATTCTCCCACTGTTCGCGGTTCACTGTTCGGGTACTATTCACTATTCATAATAATTAAAAAAAATGAATTAAATTATTATAATGAAACGTAATTTTATATGATATGATATTTTTATAATATCATTTACTATTTTAAGAAATTAAATTTTAAATCATTTTTGAATAAAGATGGTTTTAAAAAAATAAATAAAATGAAAATTCGGGTGACATCCGTAATCTGTATAGGTATAATTATACGGGTTACGGGTGTTACATGTCATGTCAATAATTATGTTATTTTTTTAACATGTAGGTGATTAAAATGAATCAAATATGTAATATTAGGTATGTTTCTGATAAAAATAATAGTTGTATGACCAAAATAAAACAAAAGTGATTGACCCATCTTTTTTCCCAGGTACTGTTTAATAGCCTAAAAGGCTTAAATTCCAAGCGAACTATAAACACTGATCAAAATAAAACGGAACACTGTTGGGCCTAAATCGCACCCCGCAAAATGATGTTGCAATATTAAGCCCAACATTCGTAATTTCGAACAAAGATTTTCCTCTTGCCACATCACCCACGAAACCGAAAACCAAAAGCTACAAAAATTACAAGAACACACCCTCCCCATACCCAAAAAACCCCTAAAAAATCACACAACTGCCATAAAAATATGACAATTTCAAAAAGATTATACACGAAAGAGAAAATACAAGAAAGAACCCTGACCTTTTTGTTTTTGTTTTTCCATTTCACAACAGGGACTTCAACGATCTTGCTTTAATAGGCTTTTTCATTCGTTTCTTGCCACTGTCTCCATTCTCCTCGTCCTCCTCATCGACATAATCAAATTCTTCGTTATCATCTATTTGTGAAGAAGAAGACATCGCCGAATTATTTTGGACAGTGACAACGATTCTGTTGTTTTTGACCTCAATATGATAGTCCATGATTTCCCTTACTCTACTGCCGCCGCGTCTCTTTTTCTGCCACGACGGCCCAAACCTAGAATAATAGAAAAACTCATAGTGATTCAATGCTGGTGATGAGCATTTCCGCGATGCTCGAGCTCGTTCTCGGCGGCTTCCGGTGGGTTGATTGTTGTAATTATCGGTATTCTTGCAGGGATTAATATTATGCACACTATCACTGTTGTTGTAGTTGCAAGATTTCAGCAGAGCTGGATCTCGATTGGATTGTTTATCCTATTCTTCTTCTTCGCATTGGCTCTCGAACCCAAAATAATTGGTCGTTTCAATCTCATCGTTATCGTCATTATCATCGATAACCATGCCTCCCACTTTTATAACTGCTTCCTCTTTACTCCCCACCATTGTATCTACGTTGTGTTTCGAGTAATAACATTTCAAGAAACACAAACTGAGTATTCATTTTCAATAACTCAACTACCCTATTCAAGGCATCAACAAATTTTATTTATTTCTTGGATAATTATTCGGCTGTTAACTTAAAACCCTAATGCAATACCACAAATCAAATAATGTAAATTACCTCTCAACAACACCAATAGAATCGCCAATGCTCCCTGTAGATACCCGTTTTTATCCGGGTCTACCAAAAATATTATTATACTTATTATTATTATTATTATTATTACTATATTTATTTTGTTTACATATTTTGCAGGCCAAAAGTAGCCTGATTACGAACAAGCCCATGCAACACAAACCCACCCATAGTCCAACAATCATTCAGCAACCCACCAAGTGAACCCAATTACTACCCAAGACCCAAACAGCTAGAACCCGACCCGAAGGAGACTCGTACTGGCCCAAGACCTAACCCATTCAAATTAGGGTTTAAAACCCTAAAATGTCAAGCAACCGTCATCTCCAGTAATCGAAGCCAGATCCAGCCGCGCGTGGACTTCATTGTTCATCTCTCAACGGCGCATGAACCGGCCTCCAAGCCGCTCCGAATGTTCCACTGTCTGGTTTTGTCATCAACATTGACATAAACAAGCAATCCACCAGTCAACAAAAATATCAGAAGAAACCCAATAGAAAAATAAAAAGAAATCTAAGAGATATCCCGATGCAATCTAACCCTGTCAAATTTATTTTGGTGGCAGCAAGCAACTCTATCAAATCTATCAGCAAATCCAACACATGCATCAAAGATAAAAAAAAAGACTGAAGATTCCATTCGGGTTTCCAGGTGAAAAAGAGAAAAAAATGAAAGAAAAACATGAGAGGTATTTGGGTTTGAGAGCAAAAAAAAGAGAACTAGAGGAAGGAAGAGAGCATTCAGGGGATGAAAAAAATAACTAGAGAGGGTTTTCGAAGAGAAAAAAAGGGGAGAGGGAGGAGAGTTTACATTCCTAAAACTTTGTCGAATCTTTGAGTCGTTGTGTCTCGGTGATGGGGTCGATTCATGACCAGGAACGGGGCTAGGTTTTTTTTTCTTAGAGCCTTATGAGGCTCGGTTAACTCATATGTAAAAAGGGGAAGGTGCAAAGGCTTTCTTCTGGGGTTGGAGTAGTGGAGTGAAAGGGTTCGTTTAGGAGACCGGTGTGAGGAGTAGGTGGCCATTGGTCTGTTTTGGAGCTTCGTAGCCCTCGGCCGCCTTGAGAAGTGAGGAGGATAGGGTTGTTTTAGAGAGTTTTCTTATCTTTAAAGAGAAGAGAGAGGAAGAAAATATAAAAATGGGAGAGGGACCAATTATTTGGCCTTAAAATGGGCCCTTTATACATCACACAGAACAACGCCGTTTAGGAGAGGTTGGACGCGGGTTTTCAACTTATGGGATATTTACAGAAAAGGTTCTCCATGGCTTGTAAAACTCTATTATGGTCATTAATGAAATATTAGCTTTATTTTATTTGGAGCACCTAGTTTACTTTATGTTATAATATAGTCCATGTTTCCTTTCAAATGTTATTTGGTATTATTTATGTTTGGGTCATTGTATTTTAGATAATTTATACTTCAGCAATACATGTTTAGAATAGTTCATTTTAATCTTTGTTCCTAAGATTAATAATTTTGATTAAATTTTTGTAAATGGCAGTATGTTTTATCTCTTTTCATTTTTGTCTTGAATGTTGTTTTGGGATTTATTTTTGTCTTAGTACTCATATTATGTGATATTTACACACTAACCATGATTTGTTATATTATTAGTATTGCACCTCTAAAGTTTCTGTTTGTGCGATTTAATCCTTATTTACTAGGTATGATTAGATTCTTATTAATATTTTAATTTATCATGTTTGTAAATATTCATTTTCGTCCAAATCTATAACTTTGTTTTATCGATCGTTATAATTTCATGTATGTATGTATATAAATTATGTAATTGTTATAATCATTTTTTGTATGAGTTTTTTTTATTTATTTCTTTTCGTTTTATTATGTGTATATTTAGATAATTATTTACGCCTTTTGTATAATTATTTATGCCTTTTGTTATAAATCATCATTATTTTCTAATATGTAAAAATGGGTAAATTTTATTATGAGAGAAATCTACGAAGATATCTCCCAACTAAAGGGAAGGTATCTTTTCGAAGATTTTTTGTATAAATGTTTGTTTTATATTCGATAATTTTCTTTGTTCCACGTTTAGTTATTTCAAGTATTTGTACCACTTTTTACTTTTATGTTGTTTTATTTTATATTTGTGAAAATTGTGAAATAACGTTTTTGTGAGGGGAATCTATGGGAAAGTCTCCTAATTACAAAGGAAGTGTGTTCCCGAAGAGTTTTCACACTTTTTAAATAAACTCGAATTAATAAAAGGATCATAATATAAATACATTTTTAAGTTTGTAGTTCTCAATATTTAAGCAACATATAATCGTTTAGGTACCAAAATTTGGGCATTGTGGGGGTGCTAACTCTTCCCCACACGTAACCGACTCCCGAACTCTTAAAAATGAATTTTTGGTAAAACGCATACTATTTTTTGTTGTTTAAGGTTTCCAACCTACCTAACTTAAAAGTTAGTGGCGACTCCAAAATCATTTTTTTTCAAAATCATATTTCATCGCCTTTCCCCGAAAACTAAAATTTTTAAGTCTAACAGGTCCCACAGGGAAACGTTATGACAACTTGGCGACTCTGCTGGGGAATTTGAGAGTCAGTCCATAAACAATTGTACATTGTTATTTATTTTTGGGAATTACAAATTTAAATTATATTTAATTCACGATCCTTTTATTTATTAAAAGTTTCAATATATTATTTTTTAAAAACTAATTGATTTTTGATTTTAGTGATTTACAAATTTGAACATATTTTGGAAATCATAAGAGTGTTGTTTATTCGTGTTTTTAATGGTTTGTGAGTTTCTCCTCACACACAGCACACACATTTGCATACCATAAGCTCACTTACGAGCTTTGTTCTTTTAATTTGAGGTGAAAGTTTAGCCTACGTGAGATAAATTGTTTCTCCGCACGGGTTTTAGCAAGTAACCTTTGAGGTTCATATACCTTATATCTACATGAGATAAATTGTTTCTCCGCATGGACATAAGGTAATGTATCCTCTCGAATTGAATTCGATCCGCACGAGCCTGTAATGGCCAAGATTAAGGGTTTGGCGGCCTGAGGAGGCACCAACAAGGACAATTCGGGTACCCTTTTACTCATAGAGCCGAAACCATGCATATAATGAACCGTAGAATGGTCACCCTAGATATAGTTATACCGAGCCTCTATCTGTCAGTAGGTACCCAAAATAAATGTACATAAAGGAAAAGTTTTTATGAACCTTTGTCTTTTGCTTTAAATTTTGTTAAATAGAAGCATGTGAATTAGATACCATGCGGTTAGGATTATTTTCTTGAAAATAAAATCATTGTGGGTAGAAAGCATGTCCGGGTAGGATTGTTATCTATTAAAAGCATTTTTGGGTAGATACCATGATGGGGTAGGTGTTGTATTCATCTTTGAATAACATTTTATATGTATCTATTATCTTACCTGTACTAATATATTTCATTTCTTTTGTTTATATCATTTTTCATCCTTCTTTGCATTGCATTTCAGAGGGTCATCACTTTTGCATCTGCATTTGCATCATCGCATTTTGTATGATCATCATAAATAAAAGAAAGGTGTTGATTAACCAAGTAATAACCAGAATAGGAGAGCGGTCATTAAAATGGAAAAGAGTTTTCATAACAAGAAAGAACACAATCTAGCGGTTCGAGCTTGATCTGAAGAAATGAAGGGCAAAAAATAGATAGTTTGCCTGAAGCTTATGTATCACAGATGACCATAGAGGTCAATGTCAATTTCAAGAAGAATGATCTACAAGAGCTTAAGAGTAGCAACCATAGAGAAGTTCCACAAGAAAATGAATATTTTATGTGGCATTGTCTCAAGAAGATTTCTTTGACAGATTGGAGTGTTGATTCAGAGGATGCACTCAACTACTCATCGTCCAGATTCAGAGTCAATTATAGAAAGAAGAGAAAATGGGTGGGATTATGACTGAGATCATGGAGCTAAATAAAAGGGTCGAACCACATTTGTAGATTAATCTCTCTTGTAAAGATGAAAGCTCTTCTGAACGAATGGAACTCTTTCTAATAATAGTTACTTTTGGAAATTGATGCCTTTTGCATTTACATTCTACATTACATTTATTTAAATATTTTTCGCATGCATCATGCATAAAAACATAGAATTATGTCTTGGAGAATTTAATGATAGTGGTCCTATTCATGTGACACTACATTGAGAATAAAAGCAAGATACGAACAAATTAAATGAAGTAGTTAAAATCTGTACGGTATGAGCTTTTTTAGCTGATTGTAAGGTTGAGCTTTCCAGGAGGATTTGAGAAAAGAGTCCACATATCCTAAGGGCTACGATGTTGATCTCATATACAATTACCATATAGGAAGCTCCAAACATTCCACTGAGAATGGTAAGGCACTGAAGAGCAAAATCTAGAACATGATGGATTCAGGGGCATGGACAATTCAAGAATGATGGAGCCATTGCATCTACCATTTGCATCTAGAGAGATTATTTTGTTTGAACTCGATTTTGTTTTGTATTTAATATGTGCTTAAATATTTTTAATCTTAATGATTGAACTTATGCTACCTTCTAAGGTTAAATAATTGAACGAGTTTTAATCTTTATTTCTTTGAATATCAAATGAATTGTGGATTCTCTTAATTCTTCAAGAATTATGGATTTTTGACATATGGCAAGATTATACCTTTCTTTTCCTGTCTAAAACCCCAAAATAAAATCTCTTGATTTTTTACCCGAAATAATTCATAGTCACTACCAAAAGACCAAAATTTTACATTACCTTTTCTTGAGACTTTAAAACATGGCTTTTATCTTTTT